GGAGAGGAAAAAGAGGTAGAGAGAGATGGGGAGAGGAAAAAGAGGGAGGGATTGATAGAGAGAGATGGGGAGAGGAAAAAGAGGTAGAGAGAGATGGGGAGAGGAAAAAGATGGATAGATAAATAGATAGAGAGAGAGAGAGAAAGAGAGAGAATTATGTGGCTTAGTGTGATAAGTCCGTCTCGTGTTGCTATCGGCGCTTAGTTGGAGCGACCTTTGCTCCTATAGTGAATCATGGCCATGAGAACCGAGATAATTGTATAACCTATTACTTCTCAAGTGCTGTTTTTCCTCGGTGGTTTTTCTAGATATCAGAAGTGACAGGTTGTCCGACTTGGACGTGTCGTAGTCATAACTACTTTGTCAGGCTCGTGTGAAAACCCTGGCTTTGGAGAGTCTCGCTCAGCAGCGGGTTCCTCGTTGAGCTTTTGTTTTTAGCGGCACTGTTTGTGACAGCCGCGAGTTCTGTGTCACAGCGTGTGTGCTCCTTCAATGAGCAGGGGAGAAGTCTCCCCCCCCCACCCCCATCTTTCGGAAGTCGTAAAAGATAAGGTCGAGATAGACGGACCCCGTGATAGTGAAGGGGGTGAGTTGTCACTTCAGCTCGGACGGTGAGATAGGCCTATCGGGAGCTGCTGACACAAGTATTAGTAGACATTTGTACCGTGCTAGATAGTCTAGTCTCGGATGGAGATTTTCTGCTGGGGAAGATCCAACTTTCTGCCTTGCCGACTTGCCTCTCAAACTTCTGTCATCAACGGATTATATCCTTTAGGCTTCTCACTCCTCCTCCCCCACACCAACTTAATTGGTCTCATACATTCTCTCTCTCTCTCTCTCTCTCTCTCTCTCTCTCTCTCTCTCTCTCTCTCTCTCTCTCTCTATCTATCTTTCTTTATCTCCCACCCCCCCATCTCTCTATCTGCTAGTGTATGTGTGTGTGTGTGTGCGCGCGCGCGTATGTGTGTGCTCTTTCTGCTCTTCTGCTCTTCATTTCGCTCTATGTCTCGCCTTTCCTCCATGTCATTTTCTATCTGACCTTTGTTTCTCCCCCCTCCCTCCTCCCTCCTCCCAATCTATCTCTCCCTCCCCTATCTCTCCTTTCTCTTCGCACCCCCCCCCCCCCTGGAGTGTGTCCTCTTACGTCCCAAGTCACCAAGTCACCCTCTGGCCCTTGATGGTTGTGTCGGCCGAGAGATGACCGATTAGCTGGACACGTGGAAGATATACG